CGGTTGGTTGTCCGTGACTGTTGCTTCATCTCCATTCAAGGTACTCAACAAGTGCAATATCTTGAGTTTGGGCATGACCTTGCTGGAAATCATCAAAGGCTGCATGTCAATGTAACCTTGCGAGAATACAAGCCAATGATCTGTTGACAATTAAGTGACAAAGTAAAGTCACAAGTAGTGGTACATGAAAATGTAGCGGAATATGTTTAGAAATCGTGGTTAAAATTCAGAAATGTGGACAAAAGACTGTCAGCATTCTGAGTGGTGCAAATTCGTTCCCGGGTTTTGGAGGTATTCTGAAGCTGAGGTAAGTCTTTGTTGCGGACATCACTTGTGGAATTGTGGATGATTTGTTCAAGTTTTAGGCTCTGACACAGATATAGCCTTGCGCTGATGTAAGGGAGCAGAGTGAGGTTATTGGACGTGTAATAAGGTCTTCACAGAGACTACTGCAATCGATGACGAGCATTATTTCATCGAAATCTTGGGTGGACTTTGTCGGCAATATGTACCTCTCTTCTACGGTGGTCTGTTATGTCAATCCACTGTACATTGCAATCTATGCATGTGTCCTGGTGCTCTGTTTGAATTGCAGTGCTGGTCTCATCATACTTGCAGTTGTAGAGCAGCACCAGTTTGAGGTCCCGTACATATAAAATTATCCACAACGCAATTTACCATTTCCGATAAGGGTAGTGAGAAAGATACAATCGCTACTCAAATACTCAAGTTAGACACCATTTGAACCATTCGGCTTCATTGTGGCAAGGTAGGTGCTGGCGGCTAGCATGTCTTCGAAAAAGTGTGCACCATCTTCCGCTGCTCATCAGTCGGAGATTAGGTGTGCAACGAACTTTATCCGGATGAGGCTTTAGGGACAACATTTCAAAGTGCTGTAACAAGCTTATTTTGTCTACGTGTTGCGTGGTACCTTTGTAAAAATGTGTGGTACATACTCGATATTGCTCGATTGCATCAATATCAGTACCTCCTTTACAGATTTTCTGACATTCGGGAAGTTGCGCCAGCACGACATTTACAATTCATAATCAATTATTCTTTTTGAGAATCCGAGACTTTTAGCCTAACCACAATTACACACACGTCCCACTGATCCATTATCTTGAATATGGTGATATTCACAGAGATTCCCAACTTATAATTGTCACGGATAGCTGTAGAGGTAAGTGTGTAAGATGCTTGGGTCTAATGACAGTATTATGTGTTGTACTATTACATCTATGGCAATATTAATCGCTAGGCATATACAGAGTTACCAAAGAAAGAAACACTCGAGCTATTACTAGGGGTTACTAGACATATGTCGATGTTGTGTGGGGTGATAATACAGAAATTTGAAAAATTGGCCTCATATTCTCAGTTCACACAGGAGATAATTTCCAAGCGATAACTTAGCATTCAGTTCTTCGGAGTCAGGTTGAAGAGTTATCTGTAGATGACTTTTTCTCCAACCCAATTTCGGCCCAAAAATGTGATCAGGACTGGTCCCACATGCGAACTAATTCGTCAAAAACCTCACAGTATTCATGTGTTCTGCAGAAAACTGGTCTTTATCACGATTACTGAGTGTTGCTAAAACATGAAACTTGACGTGGAGAAACAAATCAGTGACTTCGGAAGGTGTGGTGGTCGATACAACAGGAGCTGCTATTTACTGGTAGAGAATCAGGCTTTATGCGTGAAGTACTGAAACAGTTCCTGCATTTTGTAGGGTAGAGATGTGATGAATGGGGCAACAGCGATTGAGTTGCTTTATTCATTTTTTTATTAAGTAGAATCTATCATGGCAACCACTATCAAAGAAATAGATGACATTGTCCTGTTGCTGTTGGATCCAAAGTGCAGTGTCTAATACAGACTTCTCCATATTCAACCAATTCTTTCAAGCAGCCAATGAGTTTCCTAAAATCTGGTGGCCTCAGGAGACCTGGGCTAACAAAGTACCATGTTTGTACTTGTAGGTGGAAGGGTCCATTCATTGGAAGGACTGCCCACGAAGCCCGTAAGAAATACTCGTGCCACACCTTGAACGGCACGGAAATCCTCATGACGTTATCTTCTGAAACATACTCCTCCAACCACGATCATACCAGCGGCATTTGCTGATTCCCACGTTGATCAATGGAGTAGACTGGCTGAAGGTAATTCTATCCTTGTTTTTACCTGAATGAAGCATGTGCGGGCAAAGCAAGCTCTGTACTGCTACCTTGACCTTCTGCAAGGAAATGTGTGAAATTTATGTAGAATGACCCCAATTTGTTGAAGTATTCACATCAGGCTATTCATTATGCTTTATGATTAGAAATGGTGTGTCTGCAGTACCGAAGAAGTCTCAAGAGAAAACTTTCGCCCCTGCACACTATTAACTCCTCTTGCATCGCAAACTTCTATTTTACAATATTTCTTACAAGTATGGAGAAAAGTCGTCGATTGCGAAGTTCTCGTGTGGGGTCGAGTCATTGTTTGCCTATTCCGTGACACCAACTATCTGGGCTTCAGATTGGATCATGCCCACATTTGACGTATATTCTGATATGTGTTTGCATATTATACAGGTAATATGGGCAACAAGCACAAAAATACTTGCCACCTGATGCGTCTGTTATTCTCTCGCGCTGCTGAGAACAATACTCCTATTATCTGGGCGTATCAGAAATCGTTCGATCTACCTTGCAGCCCACGACCTAACTGCTCATCATCGACACAGTTAACCAAGTACTACACTTGCTGTGGTTTATCTCTTAATTTTTGCGCTTTCCGGAATGATGCTACAACTGTTATGTTCATGTTTGTCACGAACAAGGGGAACGAAAACATTATGTTTTATTGGTTTTTCCGCAGGTGGAAACTGTCGATATAGGGATCAGAAAACTAAAATAGTGTCATTTCAGCATCCTATAACCACAAAAAGAGGAAAGAAGGATGGTAACGATGCTTAGAATATGCAGGTAGAAGACAGCACTTGTGTAATAAATAAATATTTTATCAGTTAAAAACAACTACAAATGTTAGGCCGGAATGTTATTTCTCTGTAACGACCCATCGTCGAAAATGTTTCAATAAAATGCTGAGCTTGAGCTTGGGAGATATTATTCCAAGTTATACTACTTTTTAACCTTGATTTCTTCCACTCCAACCGATCTTGTTCTGTCTGTAACTTAACTTTGAGTATATCTTAGTACACATGGAGCTGGATGTGCTTAAATTCGACATCATTCAGTCAATTACATGAAGCTCTTTCGAGCGAAAATACTGCAACGGAGCTGTAAAAACTAACCCCTTCCAACTGGTTATTGTTCCCTCCGAAATCTATCATGATCAACTTGAGTTCCTCTGTAAATTGGGTCTACGTCGTGGTCCACAGTCAATTGACTACAGTATTGGTCCAGCGAGGGGGACTTTGGATTCCAGCTGCTGAACGGCCATAACGAGGAACAGAAATCTCGGAGACTTCATCCTCCAAGCGCAATTACAACCACTTCGTCCAGACTTCAAGCGCCAGCAAGCTTCGTATCGTATGGCAATCTGTCCTCTTAGTAACCAGTACTCTGCACAAGTGATCCATGTACAGGTCACACTCAAGATCGTAGTTACGCAACGGAATAAGTAAAGCAGAGCTTCTGACGAGTGTAGTAACGAAATGGACCTTCACCAGGGCCAGCACCTCAGGGTGGTCATTATCCGGCCCCTAAAAAATTGCACGGGCTCTGAGTCTACATCTATTGCACAAATGATTACAGTCAGACGTCACAAGCATGACAAGGTGGCATTGAAAGTTGCTCATTCCGTCATGTGTAGAGGTCTAGATGATGGAAATGAAGGAACTCATGTAATGCCTAATGGAGGTGCCAGAGACATTATTAGAAATGAGGGTTTTGCACTAAAACAAAAATTGGTGTCAGAAATGGTAATCAAATGTTTTTACTCAAGAAAACTTTAATTTTTAAATATGTACATACATACTTACATACATACAGACAAAGTCAATTGATTTCCTTTTGCACAAAAGTTATTGATGTCCACCATGTTACTGTTAAAACGTTTTTGTACGATGCTTGAAATGAAAATATCAGACCACAAAATTCCAAGTGAGGACATATGATTTGATGGGTATATGAAAAGCGTTTTAAAGAATGTTGTATTGCTTAGAGTGAACAAAATATATTACAAAGCCTCCTCCAAGCTCATAAACTGTAAGTTTCCAAACAATCCATGACGAATGTAGATTGTGATTCACCAAATTGTATTGTTTCAGTGGGATTCCGTGCTTTATCAATTTCAGCTCTTGGACTTTTATCATGATTTACAAGCCCAGTAGATTAGTACTAGGCCAAGCGCTTTGTTTGAACAGCTGCCACATGTTTCTTCTTGTACCATGCTCTTGTCCAGAACAGAACAAAGCCCTGAAAACACCTCTCTCCATCAAGTAATGTGCGATTGTGCGGGGGAGCGAAGGTACAACACACACAGACTGATTTTGTCATAAAGAAAGATAGGATTTGAACACAATTTGAAGTCCAATCAAAGCAACACAGACAATCATTGAAAACTGTTTATGAATCAAAGCGCCTCGTGAATTAACTTATCAACGGAATATCCTAGCTTCGAAGCTTGTCGGTGGCTGCGATGCCAGCTTAGTTTGTGCATACCCTGGTTCACTATTCAGAAAGTGCAGATAGAGAGCATGCAAGCTAACTCATTCAACATTATTTCCCACCTCTCATCGGACCATGAGACATCTGCACCGCTTGAAACCAGGATTCTGATTTGGCTGTGAAAGGCAATCTTGGCGCTTCATACATCATTTGTTGGGCATGGAGTGATAATTCAAGCACAGAAGAGAATCTGAGTCCCATTAGTACTAATCTATCCCTGATTTAGAACAAAACAAAAAACGTGTACAGATCCTGAATCCCAACGAACATAAACATTAAGAGCCTGCAAACACAGTGATTCCTCACATAGAACCAGTACCAGTGTACCATTAAGGAACTCGGACAGTCTTTTCAAGTATTAGTTTAAAAAAATTGGTCTGTACTTCATGAAGCTGGGATTTTGGCACTTCACATAATTGAGAGTGGGCTGTCCCAATTTTGCAGCTCTCGTCTATCATATTTATACCTCTTGTGAGGTTTCCCTATGTACATATCCACAAGCCCAGGGGATAAAAGCTGGGCCTTCATACGCTGGTTGGCAGTCAGCCCTAAAAGAAGCCGCAGATCTTCTCTTCCCAGGCTATCTTCAGAACGAGCTAGTTTAAACTCACTCCATGTAACGTAACTATCGTTATCGTCATCATCGTCAGCAAAGGATTCCAGGCGTTTGCTGACCAACGAAAAGAATTGGGGTACCACAATTTATATATATACATTTCAACAAGCTTCTAAAACTTGATAATTCTAAAACCTATTCTTGACACAGAGATGTGTCATCCGAGAAAGGGTTGTCCAACGATAGTATCCCACTCGGAGAAACTGCGTCTGGGAAAGTCGATTGCACCTCCCCAGGTTGGTCAAAAATCTGATCATAGGACAATTCTATATACGGAGTTGGATTCGCAGAACTAACGCTGGCACTGCTAGGGCTGTGGTGATCTATGAAAGCAGTTGGGGACTGGCTTGTAGGGAATCCTTGTCCTCCAGGATCAGATATCAGATTTGCTCCACAAAAATCTACAGAAAATGATTGCGGCACCCCTGATGTACTCGGTTCATAATGTAAAATGGGGTCATGGGGACCTTCACCATACAAATTTTCATATTGCAAGCTGGAGATAGGTCTTGAAAGTTCAGGAGTTTGCCTCAACGTTTGAGAGTTTTGTTGCTGTACAGGAACGAGGCTTTGATAACTCCCAGGTTGTAGACGTTGCCACTGGGGATGGGTTTGAGGTTGCTGGAAAGACATCAAGCCCTGACGTCGACCAGACTGGTTGTCGCCACTATTACTACCGCTAAGTTGCATTAAACCTGGAGATCTAGCGAGAGGTTCGAAAATTCCAGGCGCTTGCAACGAACGCAAATTCTGAGCTGAAGCACCACTAGATATCTGATGGGATGGAAGAGGAACCGACGGGGACTGGTAAGGTACTGAGGTTCTAGCTTCCGATGATATACTGGGTAAGTTCCTGCTTCGAGGCATTGATTGGATGCTACGGCCGGATGATTGTGAGAGGAACGAAGTGGACGTGGAAAGGGTGGTTACAGGGATTGAGGTAGGTGAAGACTCCGGTTGCGAAGCAGTGGCGATACCTACTGCCAAAGAGGCGGGAGATATAAGTCCGTCGGGGAAATTGAGCTTCGCTCTTAACCCTCTGAATCTGATTGCGGCTGCACGCACCAAGGAACGCAACGTAGTTACAAAAATACACGAAGCACTGCATTGTTATGGTGCAAAGAAAGTGTGCAATTAAGACTAGCTGCAACGATGAGCAGCAGAAGTCGCATCATACCAGTGTCGTAAGCCATTGCTGCTTGTTCAGCTGTGTCGAAGGTCCCTAGCCATACTCGTGCTGCTTTCTGAGGATCACGAATCTCCGCCGCCCATTTCCCCCAGGGCCGCTGTCTCACTCCGCGGTATCTTCGTTTCTTTGGAGGCGGGGCTAGTACTTGTTGAGTCACTAATGGCCCGGCCTCACTAGATTCTTGCTGATGACTACTTCCGTCGCCCACTTTCCCTGCTTGATCCAACTTCTCCAAATTGCCACCGCTTGGCCGAGGCACGTCTGTAACAACATACTTTGGAGATTCAAGTATTGACCACCTCACCATGACTGCCAATTGACTTTGACATCATGCTTCCCTACAATCTAAATGCCAAAATTCTAGCTCTTGCTAGCTGGAGCTGCTACTGTTGTGAGAACCAGTCATTGAGCCCCGCATCTCACCGACCACGAGAGGCTCTCTGAACTGCACGCGATTTCGTGTCGTGTACACTTCACATTCATAAACCCTCCGTGGCCAGCACCCTAACGCTCGCAAATAGGTATAACGTCTAGCAGGAGGATTCCTGCACTCAGGGTCCCACCATCCACGGTATCCTAACAACTAATCTCCATCTGCCTATTTTACGGAGCATTATCCTCCTCCAAGCAGCTAGCGAATTTGCAGGATGAAGGCAACACCCAGCACGAAACCCCACACAACCCGGACAATACTGGACATGTTATGCAATAACATGCAAATTTAGAGTCGTACAGATTAAACCGATACGGAGCACCATGTTTTCGTTCGGCTTTTGCAGATTTCAATGCGCATTTCAGACGCACAAAATGAACAGACTATTCTGAGACTAAGGAATACCTTGCAGGCTTTAAATTTGCGAACTTTAGGAGACCAGTGGAGGCAATTCAAAAATTGTGACTTGTTCCAGATCTAGGCTTTAGACTGAATATACACTTAGCAACAATTTGAGCAAGATAATGTGAATTGTACCTTCAATCGAAAGAGGTGACGAATGCGGTGGTGTGCTTAAGTCGGAAATCTTGCAGGAATCTTGGCTTGTGAAAATCTCTTGAGTAAGACTTAGACTCCTGCTGTACGTTCCAGGTCTCTCGGTGCTCTCCGCTTTTGGATCCACAAGTACTCGAGTCCATGTCACCGCCCGAGCATCCGTAACGTTCACATATGAGCCAGCGTCCGTTTCTCGTTTCAGAGCACCGGTACTGGTTCCTACCTCTTGCTTTATGTTGCGAGCACTTGGTGCCTGCTCATTCCACGTTTCACCATAGCCTACCAGCTCTTGCGCGGTTGGACTACTTCGGTGCCGCTTCTGACCTACAATTCCCTTGCCTGGTGCAGTATTTTCTGCACGCTGGGATTCGGGGTAATCCTGACGGGAACTTGCACCACCTGTTTGTGTCAGCGCGGATACCATCTTGAACGCCTTTGAGATTTGACCTGAGCCCGCCCGTGTCCGACTGGGGCTGGAGTGGCCGCCGGTGTCGGGCGGATCATTTGATGGATCCAGTTTGTCTGATGAGAGGTTTCTTCCTGGAAGTGATTGCAGAAAGCACATGATCGTAATCAGATTTTTTCTACTTCTCGCCGTGCTTTCATGCCCCGCAGCATCGCTCGAAGCTTAACCAGTGGTGTTAATTCGCGCGCGTTTCGAACAAAAGTCAGTGACTTTTTACACGAGGTGTCATACATCTTCTGCCGAAAGCGAAACATCGGATCGTGCTCTTCGTATCGAATTCTTCACTTGCAACGTCGTCTACTCCCCCGCAGTGTGAGCCAGATATCTGTTTGTGAGTGCCGCTCGTGAGCCCGTATAGTGCTGTATCAATCTGGAGGTTCACTCGAGAGCAACGATGTGAATTGGCGAAAGCCTAGCCCTTGCGGTGGCGGTCCTCTAAACCTGCTGCGGCGTTAACCTTGCCTCAACCTGTAGACCTCCACTAAAGTGACCAACCCCTTCTCCACGCGCTTTCAGCTCATTGTAATGACCTGGTCAATATGTATGTGCCATGTAAGAGCTCAAAGCATCCAGAATCAAACCTCAGGACCAACCACGCACTTTCTTTTTATTTTCCCTCCCTGCGGCGTGTTGAACATTTGTGCAGACTAAGGCCAGTTTTTTCTCTCATAAGCGCCTCCACATCTCATATGGGCAGTACAAATAACTCAAAGAACGACCTCCCGAAAATATTAAAAAAACGCCACCCCATCCTTAACTCCATGTGATTAAACCTCACGCTGACGCAGTTGACTAATGAGCCTAGCTTATCACCAACTCATCTGATGACAGAATTCTCACTGCGCAGACAGCCAAAACCCACAGTTCAAACCTTAACTGCAACACATCCCTGCTCATGGAAAATCCCTGCTGCATTCGCAACTTCTCACATGGGCTACTGGTGCAGCGCAACGTGATCTCTGCAACCTCTCAAGGCCCTATCTCGCGCGCGCGGGGCTCGACGTGGTCACCTACTGCACCTAATCGCAGCCCACAGAACCTTCTGTCGCTCCTTCGCTGCTTCACACGTATCCTCCAGGGAAGAATGTTGGCTTCCCATAATTGGGCGGCAGATCACAAACCATGGAATGACCAAAGGAGTAGTCGGCAAGCGGGGAGGTAAGCTTGATTCTGTGTGAGCCAAGGCTCAGATTGCGGTGGAAGGCCCAATAAAATCGTTAAAAGCCCCCTTATTTTCTTAATTAGCTAACCTTGACGTGCACGCATCTGAGGCTGTGTCATACGTAGTTAAAGAAAAGAAAAAACTAAAAACTAGAAAAAAAAAAAAAAAAAAAAAAAAAAAAACACACAGAAAGAAGAGAGGGCCAGAGCCAGCTAAGATGTACCTTTACTGTAACCTTTTCTATGGCTGTGAGCTCTCTTGCCCCATGAGACCATCGGCACTACTGGCAAACAAAACTCCCTTTCTCACACCCTCATTCACTCACTCACTCCCTCCTTCCCGCCCTCCTTTGTATCACTATTCCTGCTCTTCATACCACGATGGCTCCGACATTCAAAGCTCCCATGGCTCGTTTCTGCCGCACACCTCCAAAGAATCAATGCCCCATTCCTCCTCTGGCCTGACTAGGCGCCAGCACCCAGTCTGCAGCATAGTCCTTAATTCATCTTCTGACTGCTCAAGTTTAACGGTTCCATGCGGTGATAGATTGCTGAGATATATGAAAATCATTCGATATTCTACAGTAAAAGACTTGACGTGGGGTCCCCAATTCTCTCTCTTTCCTCCTCTTTATTTAGTCTCTGTGTGCTGAAGCTTGCTCTTGTCTCATTTGTTGTTTTATTTTGTGCTTTAGAAGTACGTGCCGTGCATTCAGGGCCTGATCCGGCATCCTCGTGAAATAAGGAATGAGTTCATTTTCCCTCTAGCGTGTCCACGTCGGATTCCAAAGCGGTCCATCCAACGAAGTTTTGAAACGTGGCACTTTTCCGGATTGTGGAGCTCTGTGGGTTTTGAATTCCACTGAATTGTGGAACCTGACTTAGGTCAACAACTTTTTTGCCTTCATTGAGCTTTTGGAACCAGTTCTCTTTCTTCCGTTCCGTTGTTTGATGCTGATGCTTTGCTTTCTTCTTCAAATTCTATCTTTTCCTTTATTCTAATCATTAAAATTATTGTTGTTGTTAGAGCAAAGAAGAATAGAGTGTGTAATTAAAGGTTTAAAAAAATTCCAAAAAGTTAAAATTAGAAATTAGTTTCAAAAAAAAGGAGAAACATTATTGTTGGTTAAATATAAAAATAATAATTGTAAAAAATGCTATCAAATTGAAGGGTATCCCAAATGGTAAGCTCAACATTTTTCACCATCTCATTTGTAGAATCCTTCATGGAATGTGATGTTGACTTAGTAGATATTACAAGATGTTTTTAATACATAAATAATTGGTGCATGTTGGTCACCACTGACTATGCAACCAAGTATATTAAAGCCTGTGCTTTATGTGGAAATTTGAAACCAGAAACCACTTATTTCTTTTCTGATTGCTTTCTTACAAACAATTGTCGCCTTTTTTATACTCTGAGTTATCAAGGTACCCTCTTTGTTAATGCAATGATTATCAACTTGGTCAATTGTTTCCTTACACAATGTACTAAATTCATCTTGTTCTAATAATTAAAAAAATGACAAAACTATATCTATCCAATATACCATTTTAACCATGTTACATAATGTGGTATTCATATGTAAAGCGAATTGGAACAAATTTTCATTTCCAATATGATTTACCTACTATTAGATACTTAACTATTTGAAATATCTAATTATAAAAACATATGTTAGGTCTTCAAATTTTTCCAAGTCAAAAAAAAAAAAAACATGTATCTTAAAATTCAAGATATCTTCAAATAAGCCTAGAATTTAAATTTCTTCAGAGTACAACTACAACCAAAATTATTAAATTTTAGAAAAAAATTATATATCTATATATATAAATATATATATAGATATAAAGACAAGGTATAGCCAATTCATTGATAGAGTGAAATATCATACATATTAAATTTAACAAAGGACATAAGTCTAAAAGATTTTAGATAGTCCTTGTAAATCTAGTTCATTAAATTTTGATATAATATTATTAAATATAAAAGAAATATAAATTTAGAATATAATATACTATTTTAAATAATTATTATTTAATAATAATTTATTATATAACATCTCATATAGAAATAGTCTATAAAAGAAATTATTAAATACATAAAATATAAATTTTGTTATACAATTGGAATTGATTTATTAGATTATTTAGAGATATAATTAGATTAATTTATATTAATTTTAAGATATAATTAGATTAATTTATATAATTTACTATAACAAATAGTAAAAATTTATAAAAACCTATATATGATAATATAAAATTGTCTATCTATTATATAATAATATATTATACATAGATATTAAAAGAGGTATAATTTTTTTTTTATTCTTTCATCATCATGCATTATATATGTGTTAAAATATGTAAATATGTAAACTTCTATTGAATCTAAATAATGATCTAAAAATATTGTTGCTTCTAAATTGGTTATTTAAAAATATATATATATATTAATAATAGATTTATTAAATTTTAAAAATCCAACATTGAAATAACCTATATAAATTTTAAACTGATTTATCGTGTGACTTTGAAATTTGAAATTATTCTAAGGCTTCTCTTGATCAATCCTAATTCCTTTGCAATGGAAGGCTTTCCAGCCTAAGTGACATGCTCATTAATTAAAACATATATATATATATATATATATATATATATTTATAACCAATACAAAAAATTGGATAATTTTAAAATAAAAATGAAATTAAAATTATATATACATATATAATCAATTTTTTAATTAAATAAAATTATTATCTCATATTTAATATTTATAATTCAGGTATTTTTTAAAATTATTTTTTTACTTTAGAAATATATTCAAGACTTTGTTAAATTGATAATTTTGTAAAAAAACCCACAACTATTGTTTTCTTAAGTCTAAAAAAATTAATTTTTTCATAAAAAATAACTATATGGTGTATTATTATTTCAAATTTTATTGATAATATTCAATAGTATACATTTGTTTATAACATTCTTTTACATGAAATATAATTTTTTTCTATATTTTTTATATTTTTATTTTTTAAATAAAAAACATATTGATCTTATTTTATGATATTTATATAAATTAGATCTTGTATATCCTATAAATATGCCATGTAATCATTGAAATTTCTCTTGGAAGTTTTATAGTTTCAAAAAGCCACTATAGAAGCAATTTACAAAATAGATGTTTAGATCACAAGAAAAGTAGTCCTTATAAAGCTTTTATGTAGATTTCTCAGTAGTTAATATACATAAAAGAAATTTTGAGATTTTTCTTAGTTGTATTAATGCTTTCTTGCACACATTCTTAATTCAAGATGACATTGTCCTGTTGACAATAGTACTTGATAATATTATTTTTAATTATTTTTTATTATATATATATATATATATATATATATATTCTTTAATATTTTTATCTCAGTAAAAAAATAATTATATATATTTTTAAATTTTAATCTAGATTTTTGTTTCTAATAATCTTACAATAATAACATGTATAATATCAAATTTGAATATTATTTAATAAGAATAAATTGTATATTTTTCTCAAAATATCCAAGTTTTTTATAATATATACATACACACATAAACACACACATCTATATATATATATATATATATATATATATATATTAATTAAATATATTTATTTATCATATTTAAGTTATAATAATCAAAGAAGAATAAATAAAAATAAGAAACACATTGCACAAATTAAAGAATAAATAATAATTTTTTTTGTTATTTTTTTTATGTATTATCTTTGTCTATTAAATCAATCAATATTATAAGTAATTAATTAAAAGATACAAAGTGATATACTTATTAATTAGTTTTTTAACTAATTATAATATACTTTAAAAAAAATTATTTCTTAATTTAGTCCATATCAACATATGAAAAAAAATCTATTTTTTTATCATAAAAAAAATTAATTAAAAATTTATTTAATACACCTTTGATTGTGCTTTTATTGAAAATAATTCTATCATTTAAGATTTAAAATGATACATAAAAGATTTGTGGATTGTTATTATAAAATTCAAACCTCTTATAATACAAAAAAATTTCAATTTTAATAAAAAATATTGCACTTATATTGTAAAGAATCAAAATTATAATGCTCAATATTTTTAATAATAGAGGCATATCTAAAAAATAATAAAAAATTATTAAAAAAATAAATTTAATTTTTTGTGCTAAAATATATAAGTATTTAAATAATCTTATAATTAAATAAATCATAGTTTAAAATATTTATAATTATTTATGTATTTTAAATATTTCATAGTCTTAAAATTCTTTTAAATTTATCTAAAATAATATCAAAATAAAAATTGTATCTATTGTCTTATTTTTTTTTTAATTTGTAAAATAAAGATATTTACACATACCACAAAAAAAACTATTTTATTTATTTAAGCAAAACCATGACTACTAATAAGGATTTTATTGAAAAAATCTTATTAAAAAGTTTTTTTAAAAGTTTAAAATTATTTACAAGTAGAATAATGTTCTTATAAAGAAATCAATGTAGATCCTTTTGAATAAATAAAAGAAGCAAAAAATGTACTATTAGGTATTTTTATTTTTTATTTTTAATATTAAATTTTTTTAATCAACTATCATGGACATATAAATGACTTAGATAAGAAGTATTAAGTATGAAATAATTACAAGTAGATTTATTAATATCTTGTAAAGAACCTTCTTAGATGCAAATTTGATTTTATACAAGATTACAGTTGATTTTTTGATGGAGAACTTGGCCAAAAAATTGGCCACATGTTATACCATTGGAGTAAGTTTTTATTAAGATTTGATTTTAAGATCACTTGTCAACTCAAGAAATAACAAGGTTAATCAAAAATTCTTTCTAGAAATTCTTATCTTGTACCAATAAAAGAAAATGTATCTTTTGATTAATTAAGAAAAAATTTCTTGAAGTTGGAGCATTTTCATCTTTGAGCAATAAAATCAACATTGATTATTGATTCAACCTTTCTCAAGAAAGTTCAATTGAGTATGTCATCTGATCTTTTTATTCATAATATTAAGAATAATTCT